ATTGACCAGACGCTGGGTCGCTCGGCGATCGGACGCTGAAGGGCTATGTCCGGTCAAGTGGTCGGTCTGCACAGCGCTTAGGGTTAAGCACCAGACGTTGGGTTGTGTCTGGTCAAGCATGACCGGATGCGTCCGGTCGATAAAAATTGGTTCTGGACCCTTACTGAAAACAACCGGACACTGAGGGTCCAGCGTCCGGTCAACTGACCGGAGCGTCCATTCGAGCAAGGTAGATGACCGTTGGAGTCAGACACGTGGCTAACTATGAGCGATCGGACGCTGGGGGCTCAGCGTCCGATCAACTGACCGGAGCGTCCGGTCAGCCCGCGTTATGCCCAGTGTATAACGGCTATATTTCGTGGGGGCTTCTATTTAAGCCCCATGGCCGGCTATAGCTCATATCTTTGGCCATTTTCATTGACATAGCAACCTTGTGAGCTTAGCCAAAGCCTTCCCACTCATCTCCATCATTGATTTATCATCATAGTGAGATTGTGAGTGAATCCAAGTGCATTGCTTGAGTGATTGCATCTAGAGGCACTTGGTGTTCGTGTTTCGCTGCGGATTTCACTTGTTACTCTTGGTGGTTGCCGCCACCTAGATGGCTTGGAGCAGCGAGGATCGTTGAGCTGAGGGTGGTAATTGTCTCCGGCTCCGATCGTGGTGATTATGAGGGATTCTTGACCTTTCTCCGACGGAGCGCCAAAAGGTACTCCAGTAGATTGCTCGTGGCTTGTGTGATCATCATCTTGTGTTAGTTGTGCGGCACCCTATTGAGGGTTTGGCGTGTGAAGCCAATTAGCGCGTGAACCTCCAAGTGAGTGAATCGCCATAACGAGGACTAGCTTGCCGGCAAGCAAGTGAACCTCGGTAAAAAATCATTGTGTTCATCATTGATTCCGAGGTGATTGGTCTTCATTGTTATCCACACTTGTGATTGATTGGTTCATACATCTACACGGCGGTATAACCTTCTTGCCTACTCATTACATTACCGCAAACTAGTTGTTAAGCTCTTTAGTGTAACTAATTGTGAGAGCTTGTTAGTTTGGTTAGTGTGGCTCTTTAGTTAGCTTTTGAGAGCACACTAACTTAGTGTAGTGATATAGCTATTGTGTGGATATACTTCATTTAAACTAGAATTGTGGTAGGTGGCTTGTATTTTGGTAGGCTAGCGCATAACTCGCTTCGCCTCATAATTATCTAATCCTTTTGTTAAGTGTTGTTGTAGAATTTTTATTAGGCTATTCACCTCCCCTCTAGCCATTAGGACCTTTCAGCAGCAGGGCGCGGGGCCAACGTCTCGCTGCGGCTGGCCTTGACCAAGCCCAGGTGGCTCGACCGGCCAAGTGCGGCGGCACGGTTGACCGCGCGGGACGCGGCCATGTGCGCGTCGTGAGAAGGCCACGCGGTGACCGCGCACCCGACGCCAACCAACCCGAGACAGTGATATGCACGAATTTTAAAGCGTTCAACATGACCAAACGGTTGCTTTAGGACCTAAACTATCTTCACCATGCTCAAGATGGCACATGAGACTACCAAATTGAGCTATAACACTACACCACTCCCTAACCCAATCTCTCACAATAAATTGCTAAACATAGCAATGTCTAACTGTTGGCAGACTTGAAAATTTCGAAGTTTTTGAGCTGAATTTGATTTTCAATTTGTGATTTCTAAGCTCGTGGAAATATTAGCTAGCAATATCATTTTTCGACCACAAGTATTTCATTGTCATCTACAAAGTTTATACTTCAAACTTTATTTAAGTATCACATATATGTTCTATAGCATTTTTGTTTAATAAAAATTAGTTTTAAACCCTAAGTGATATAACATGACTATCGAATCAACTTTCGTTTCACATTTTAGTTGATCGTTTCGAGTTACAGAAATTGATCTACACACTTTATCACGTGCATTAACACATAAACATGATGCTCATGACATGTTTTAGTAAATGATTTATGGTGTAAAACCGAAGGTGTTACAATACTGAAGCAACAAGTCTTGAATATCTTCTGCTGGTTGTTGTGCAGAAGTGGTTGTACCGGGAGATACAGGAGTAGGGTTATCCACAATGACATAGGCCCATATATCATTCCCTTGAATGGATTTGAACATCTATTTAGCAGAGATAATATTTAGGGACAGTGGGGTTGGCTGTAGACCTTTGAGAGTAATGAGTTTCCCTTGATGATATGAAACTGTAATGTCTTAGCTGCCCAATCACATTGCATGGGACTGAAGGTTTGGAGCCAATCAAACCCTAAAATGGCATCATATGGTAGCAAGTCCAACATTACCATGTCAGTGGTAAATGTATGGCCTTGAATGTAGCACTGTAGGCCCTTAACTTGTTTAGCTGTAGTCATCCAGTTGCCATTGGCTAGCTTGACCTTCTGCTGCTTCATGGGAATAGTAGGCAGCTGAGTGAGATTAACAAAATGGGAACTAACAAAAACTGTGACTGCTGCCAGTGTCGATTAAGATGAGCATAGTTTTGTTCTTCACTGTTGCTTTCAACTTGATTGAATTAGCAGCTTCAGTACCGGCCATAGCATTGATAGACAACTGACCAAAATTTTTAGTGAGCATTTCATCGATAGCCATTTCATTCAACAGGTCTTCATTGATTTCCTTGTCCAGATTCCAGATCATTAACCACCAAGGCATTGAGCTGGGGCTTGTTCTTTTTTGCATAATGTTCGGCATGACCAGGCTCATATTTTTCTCCACAATGATAGCATAGATTGTTAGCCTTTCTGTAGTCCCTCAATTGTTTGTGCCTCCAGAGATTGCCATATATGGATGGAGGTTTGGCTTCAGGTTTTGCATGTTGAACTTTGGGATTAGGCTGCTTCTGTTGATACTTAAGGTTGCTCCTGTGCACAATTTTTTGCTGGATTTTGGCAATGACAACAGCTCTTTCTACAGTTGTTGGGACTTGGGGTTCCACCACAGCTCTAATATCATCCCTGAGAGCTCTCACATATTGAGTGGCAAAGAACAGAGGGTCATAACTAGGCCCATGCATAGTCACATCATATTGGAAGGACTGAAACTTTGTAGTGTATTCCTCCACAGTAGATGTTTGCTTGAGATCTCAAAGCTCATTGATGGCCGATCTATAATCATCACTGCCAAACTATTCTTGCACATCTGCAGAAAATTGCTGCCAAGTAACTGCAGTATGAGTTAACTTATAAGTTTGCCACCATTTGGCAGCATTCCTTTCCAGATGCATTGTTGCTGCTTCCACCCACAAACTTTTAGGAATTGAATAGATGGAGAAATAGTAGTGACATTTGTCCAGCCAGATCTTTGGTTGAGTACCATCAGAAGAGGGAAAATGCATTTTGGGCAAGGTGTGGTGAGGCAATGATTCTGGTTTTGGTGGTGGCTTGGTGGACTTGTATTGGTGAGATGGTTCTGGCTTAGCTTTTTATTTCCCATTGGCAAAGACATTCTCAAACTCAATCTCATCATCAGCTATGACTGATCCAGCACTGACAGAACCAGCCTCCCTCTCAAAGTGTCTCAGAGTCAGTTGAGCAACTGCCTGACCATTAGCACACATTTGTTGAGCGATGAACTGTTGGTCTGCTGTACATTGAGCCATTTTCAGATTGGTGTCAGCTAACTGTTGCTTAACCTCTTGCTGAATGATACCGATATCGTTCATCCTGGTGAATAGGAGATCGAAATTGTCCATCACTTGCCCCCACGGGTTCGATCCCCTTCAGCACTTGTCGACATCTGCTCCAACAAGATTTGCGTCTGCACCAAAGGTTTAGGCTGCTTGGAAGGCGCCATGATGCAAAACTTATTGTGAAACAGCAATGAACAAGTAGTGTAGCAACAGGTTCAGTCGAAACATCTCTTATCGTGTGCTACATTGAATCCCAACTCCTGGAACTGAGGCTCGATCGAGGGATTTTACACGGAAACACGCGTCCCGCAACCCAAACCGAAGGACAATTCCCCACCGTACGCCACCACTCAGCAATCGCTCGCAGCTTACGGAATTTTACACGGAGATAGAGGCTTCGCAACCCTAGGTTGGTAAACGATGCTAGCTAGAGAAGAAAGGGTGAGCGATAGAGTACACGCCGTTGAACCGGATCTGGTCGATGCGGAACCCTAGTCGAAGAAGGTGTAGCCGAAGATGACGGCGCTGCTGACAGTTGACGCACCGCCGGATCTCGTCGATTGAAGCCGCTCACCACGATCTGCCGCTGAGGATGCGTGCCACGGTGCTCGAGCTCGCCAATTTGGTGACTTTGGAGGTGGACGAAAACGAAAACGCTGCTGACCTCGGATCAACCAAAGAGTGGAACTACAAGACCTCTAGCACAGCACCGCAAGGATGCCGTCGGGGATCTACCAACCACCCCGGATTACGATTTGAGATCGAAGCAAACGAGATCGAGATCGGAAGGGGAAAGTAAAATCGGACAGCGGGCTGAGGATAGATGGTCTTTGATACCACTTGTAACACCCGTGGCAACCGACGGTGATCGCCGGAGACGTGAGAGACAAGATGGCTATTGCCGACGAGGAAGGAGCAGAGGACGGCTCTATCTTTCGGTTCACTCAATAGCAAGATTCTTAATTGTCTTACAAGCCACCGTTGCTGAAAATATAAGGCATACAGCCGACCGGTCCCTGGGACCCCTAGTCATACTACTATAGTGTGGAGGGTCAAGAAAATAGATAAACTCGTGTCAACTTTCTGCCCTCCTAAAAAACCCTCATGTTCAATTTCCCTTTCATGAGAAATTTACTTTATGTAAATATATTGAGATTTGGTAGGTAATAAAACAAGTATAACAATAGTATATATATTCAGCTACACGTAGACGTAGTCGTCTCTGCCCACGGCAGCACGGGAAGAAAGAGGGCCGAGACAAAGAGCCTGAGAGAGGCCGCCGCAACTGCACACCGCAGACGGCATAGCAGCACTAGTGGCTACAGCGCGCACGGAACACGAGGCAATGCCGTCCAGCTCCAGTCGCCGCCGCCCGCTGCGGCCGCTCGTACCTGGCCTCCTCCTGTTCCTCCTCGCCATGGCGCCTCCACCGCCGGCTTCCGCGGTGGGTGTGAACTGGGGCTTCGCGTCCTCCCACTCGCTCCCGGCGGCGCAGGTCGTACGGGGCCTCCTCCTCCCCAACTCCGTTCCCCGCGTCCGCCTCGCCGCCGCCTCCTCCGACGCGCTCGCGGTGCTTGCAGGCACCGGCATCGCCGTCAGCGTTGGGGTCCCTGACGCGCTGCTCCGGCCCCTCGCCTCCTCCACCAAGGCCGCCACCGCCTGGGTCCACAACAATGTCACCCGTTACTCCTCCAGCGTGCGGTTCGAGTAAGAGCTCCCTTCCAATGCACGATTTTTAGGTGCCTCGGAGTCTTTTGCTTGTCGAATGTTCTGAGAGAAAACGAAGCACGGATGATGGTTTTAGTTGACCTAATTCTCATGTCGACAGAAAAGGACCAATTGGGCACAGCTGACTTCCAATTGACTCGATTAATCAATATGACTGCAGTCTTCGTACTCACAACCCGTTACAGTAGTCACTACAGTTCTACTGTGGATGGCTGGATCCCACGGAAAAGTGGGCTGTGCTGCCTGTGCATTTGTTACCTTATTTCTATAATAAGATTGGATATTATGTCGGATGTGTGGCTGATCAATCTGAATCGAAGAAGGGAACCATTTCTTTACTGAATGTATTAGTTGGCTTCAGTTGATAACTTGGTGCTTCTGCCTTGCAATAGTTCACTGGAATTTTCTTATAACTAGGTAGTAGTAGTACCTGGAGAACCTCTTCTGTGAAATTTAAACTATGAAAAATCCACAAAATGTCACTACTGATATGCTGGTAGTGACAGGTTCCTGATTGGTGAATGCGATTGAGGGATGCTACAATGACTTTTATCTATGCCAAGTAAACAATTGGAGGTAGAATTTACCATTTCGGAGAACATCAATGGGCAGAATGTGAATATAATCCTCTTAGGTTACAACTTTGAGCCTGGGAGGACATTTAGGTTATCTTTTGATATTCTTCATTTCGTATATCAGGTTCAAAAGTAGCAGAATAATAGAGTTGTATTTTACGTTCACTGCTATGTCAAAGCCTAGACCCTAAATAAAAACTCAACCCGCGGGGGGTAAGACAGCCCCCGGGCATTGTGTTTAAGAATAAGACCTTCTCACGCAGGTCGAGAAAACCCCCGAACCTCTGCCCCACCCATACACAGCGGCACCGCAGTTCCCGTGAGACTGGGTTGGCCGTAGACCTGTGCTTTGGCGTGGGACAGACGAGGGGATTTTTTTTCAACGCAGATAAATTGCGCCTCCTCCGGCCAACAAATCCGCCCCCGAGGGGGTTCGAACTCTGGCCGGCAGGGTGCAAAGTGCACAGCCAAACCAACTGGTCTAGCATTCGCTTACGCCTAGACCCTAAATAGCCGAAAAGAGTACATAGTTGGGTCTTTAGTGATGTGTACCTTTTGTGGCAGATGATTATGTTTCATTTCTGCAAAAAAATTTAATTTGCGCTGTGTTATAGAGCAAGTATCATGATGACATTGTATATCCCACTGCATAGATGAAGTGAATCATGCGTTAAATAATGCCATTATTTGTGTTCAATCTGTTTGTGCATCTATGTTGCAAGTCTGTTTTTTTATTGTATCTTTAATAATATTTTTAAATTGACAAACAAATTGACTTCACAGGTATATTGTTGTTGGGGATGAGCCCTTTCTTCTACGTCATGGACAGAATTTTCATCCTTTTGTAGTTCGTGCAGCAGAAAATGTTCAACAAGCATTAGTCCATGCAAAATTGTCTGGCAAGATGAAGGTGGTAGTACCTTGTAGTGCTGACACATTCCAGAATGCATCTACCCTGCCCTCGAAAGCTAGCTTCAGATCTGATGTTAACAAGACCATGGCAGATCTCCTCTCATTTCTTGCCAACAGCAGTTCTCCATTTATGGTCGAGCTGGATCCATTTTTTAGCTTTCAACACAACAAAAATATGTCATTGGACTATTACCTTTTCCAACTAATGTCTCATCCTGTAAAAGATGGTCAAAACAAGTATGACAACTACGTTGATGCAAGCATAGATGCTCTGGTTACTTCTCTAACCAAAGCTGGCTTCAGTGACATGGACATCATTGTTGGGAGAGCAGGATGGCCAACAGATGGAGCTGTGAATGCAACTCCTGCTATTGCTCAGTCGTTCATGACTGGCCTAGTCAACCACCTGGCCAAAAAGTCTGGGACTCCACTTCGCCCAAAAGTCCCTCCAATTGAGATGTATCTCTTCAGCCTTTTAGATGAAGATCAACGGAGTATAGCTAGTGGAGGTTATGAAAGGCACCATGGCATTTTTACCTTTGATGGCCAGGCAAAGTACTATGCCAACATAGGTCAAGGTCCTAAATCACTCAAGAATACCCCTGATGTCAATTACCTTCTATCAAAATGGTGTGTGGTAGACAACAATAAGGATTTGTCCAATGTTTCTTCTAGTTTCTCGTCAGCTTGCTCCAATGGCGACTGCACTTCTCTGTTACCTGGTGGCTCCTGCTCAGGTCTTGCCTGGCCTGGTAATGTGTCATATGCGTTCAACAACTACTACCAGCAGCATGATCAGAGTGAGGATAGTTGCTACTTCAATGGCCTAGGTTTGATAACTACTGTTGATCCATCTGTCGACAATTGTTTGTTTCCTCTCGCAATTCGCACTTCTGCTGCCACTTCTTTGCACCTAACATTGCCCATGTTGCTATCATTAGTTTTGTGGTTTTGCATTGTCTGTATATAGTCTGGTGAGGCTAGATTGAGCCTTCAAAGTGTTTCTTTGGGCCTCTTGTTGAATGTACTCCAAAGTCTCGGTGCACCATCAGATAATATTATTCCTGGAATGGCACAATTTCTGATGTCTCTTAGAGTGGCTATCAGAATTGGTAGGTTTAGTCCAAATGTAATGATGTGTTTTAAAATAGTCTGGCTGAGTCAACCAGCAGCTCTTCTCTTGTTCAAAAATTTGAACCTGGTAATGTTGCCATTTCATGATAGATACATTCTTGGTTTCACTACATCTTAGAAAGTCCAATCAACAGAAGGTGCTGCACGTTATGCATTTTAACTACAAGTGAACCGCGCAGTTTAGCTGGAGACCTAAGCAGCAGTGTACAAAGTCTAATCCACAGCTGTGACTCTGTGAGCTGGGGTTGGGCCTGCCACAGAGGGGAGCATGTCTTTTTGTTTGTGCAATTGTCAGTGCCTAAGAAAATGTGTTATACAGTTATACACGGTCAATTATTCATCTTTCAGTCAATGAACACTGACTTATGTAGAAGAACTTCGTACAGATACCGGTAAACGGATGCTGACTTACTGAGATGCCTTGTAGTCCCTCGGTCCCATAAACAAAGACATTAGGGCCTGTTTGGATGCTTGAATTGAATTCATTCTAATAATTATAATTTAGGCATAGATTAATTAAGTCAATATAGTTGTATATGAAATATATTTATATATTTATTGTTAGGCATACAAGGGACATACTTATATGTTTGCATTTTTATTGTAGGGAAGTGAGTTGAAGAGTGTGTTATAAGTTGAAGAATAAAATTATAGCATAGTGATCTATAGAATTAATTTCTATCTCTCACCCTTTGAATTTGAGATAGGTTTATTTGTGAGCTTGTGCAAGTTATGGAATGTCAAATTTCAAGCCAAATAGCCTAATCAATTACGTAGGTTTCAATTCCTTCGGAATGAAGAGATCCAAACGGCCCCTTATAGTATTTAAAATTTGTCACGCAAAGAAAATCTGTTTGTTTTTGCATGCATAAGTCAGGGGTGCACTCTTCACTGTATGAGATATTTTTGGTTCGGAGATACATATAACACCAATCATAACCAAAAGGTATAAGTTCATTTTCAACCTCTAATTTGTACGTCAGTTCGTTTTTCAACCTCAAATTATGAAATCGGATATTACTTAAAAGGTCTTCTAACTGTTGAAACCGGACGAGTTTAGTCCTTTAGCTATTTTCAAAGGTGTTTTCCTATTTTTAGAAATAATAAAAATCTAGTTTAATCTCAAAAAATACATAACAAATTTATTTTGAATTTGAAAAAAAAGATATGAAATTAGTAGTACCGATTTTTTTGAAAATGTTGTTTATCTACCGGTGCTTTATTTGGATCTTATTTGTTTTAAACTAGAAAAATTCCTCGCGCGTTGCTGTAGGAATTTTTTAGAGTAACTTTAGATGTCTATTGGATGAAACAAACAATACTATTTAAAAAAAATTATGAATTGAAATATACATTACTCTCGGATGAATTCCATGTCTCAGGTGAAAACTGCACATGTTGTTGCACACGTAAGTGGGTGAGGTAAACTGATAAATACTCATCTAATTGTTAATTCGTGCCAATTATATAATCAACTTTCTTACAACTGATTCCATCAGTGTATCATTTACAACATTGTTGTTAAACACTTTGCAGAACTTTAGGATAGTCACGAAGAGAATATAACAGTAATCCACTAAAGCAGGCCATCCTTCGTTGTGTAGAAAAATAGAAATACCAAATTTTAGGAAAATGTTGTGCAGTGTGCACTATGTGGGCTAGTGACTGAAGGCTCGAGAGATTTATACCTAAAAAAATTGATTGTAGAAGCAACATGAAGTAATAGCTAGCTGCCCTGGAAAGGAAATAATTAGCAAGAAGATTGAGGACCTCATATAATTATCATTGGGCATGAGGTATGAAATTACTAATGAGAGGTGAGAAGGTATGGATGTTGCTGAAGGAAAAGAAAAAAAAATTGATAAGTATATATTCAATTCTTTTTAGACAAAGAAGAGGATTCTTGCAAACCTATTGCCACGTAATCAAGGAATCCTATCAATCACTTGCAAAGCAGCATAGTGGCAAGTTCTGTACCTCTCCATCTGAGATCAATAACATCAGATCAATGATTTGTTTAATGAGGGATAACTGAGAGGTCATCCACAATGGACATGGAAGGTGACTGTTGCTGCTAGCCTAAGGCATTCTTGGCTCCGAGGACACATATGCAGCAGCCTGTGGATGGAGCACAGACATAGACGGTGACCATTGCTGGCATTACAGCAGTAAGCAGTTGGTGATGAAGCTTGCAGGAGACGACGATACTCTGGATACTTTATGCAAGTGTTGATGACATCGTACTGCGCTCACTACCTAGAGATGATGGCCTCCTGTGTTCCCATTTTTAATGTGGACAGAGAGGGGAGTGTCCAGTGACTGTCAGCTCCAATTTTATGAAGGTGGCTTCATTGGTGCGTCAGTTTCAGATTTGTGAAGGAAACGATTGGGCTATTGTTGTGCCTCTGTGCCTCTTCGTGAGGTCTGAAATGGCTGCGCGGCAGATACTAATGGCCATGAAAGAGGATGGAAAATAAGTGGAGTTATAAACTGCACAAACAATTAATAGCCAGGATGGAAATGACTGCTTAAGATACGATGGCTAAAACAATGGTGATGACGTGGCACAACGTGGAAGTAGAAAAATAGGATTAGTGGAGTTTTGTTTTATGAGAGATATAGATAGATAGATAGATAGATAGATAGATAGATAGATAGATAATAAGCATGACTATGAGTTTCATAATTTTTATTTATTTAAAGTAAATTAGCTATCAAGTTTTTACAAAATAAAAAAACGACATTTGAAATCAGCAAGGAGGACACGTTCTCGGATCTGGTTTTATAGTTCAAGGTTGACAATCAAATTGGCGTGCAAAATACCCTGTTTTCAAATCAAAATCAAAATACATAAAATTGGAAGATAAGCAGGCATGACTGTGTCCGTGGCTCCACGGCAGTATGGCACGGTGGAATTTTACATTAGTGCGGTAGTGCCAGAGAATTTAATTTACTGTCCACTTTCTTTTCCATTAGGGAGAGATTAAAAAGCGTGGCTTTTACACATTCTGAAACTAATTGTGACTCTTGGCTTGCCTGCAGTTACTGCCTGCACCTTCTATAAAGTACAGCCGCGAGCCTCAGCTACAAATTAACTAGCGCATATCTTACTTAACCTTCATTCATCGTCCCAAGTTTTACTCTTACTAGAGCACAAGGCACCACCACCAACCATGGCATTCTTCCGCCTGTCCCTGCTGGCCGCGCTCACCTGCCTGGCGCTGCTCGCCGCGTCGACGGCCGCGCAACGGGCGCCGCCGATGGCTTTTACCCCGTCGTCGTCGCCTTCGGTTCGGGGCCTGCCTGCACTGGCGGAGCGGCTGGAGGGCGCGGAGACGCAGCAGTGCTGGGAGGCGCTGGTGGAGATCAAGTCGTGCACGGGCGAGATCATCATCCTCTTCATCAAGGGCGAGGCGTTCCTGGGGCCCGGGTGCTGCCGCGCCATCCGCGTCATCGAGCAGAGCTGCTGGGGCGCCGACTCCGTGCTGTCCATCATCGGCTTCACCCCGCAGGAAGGGGACATGCTCAAGGGGTACTGCAACGCGGGTGGCGACAACGACGGCGGCGGGCAGAGCGGCTCGCCGCCACCGCGCGGTGCGGACGCGGTCGGTGCTGCTGCCCGCGAGAGCGTCGCTGCCGTCGCGGGAAGGAAGAGCTCGATGCACAGATAGATAGATGGATCATGATGTGGTTCGTTTCCACGTCCAATCTTGCTGGCTTCGTACATAACATACACCAAATAAATTGTCTCGAGAAAGTTTGGCTTTGCCGATATGAATAATAGTGATAAATCTTACTCCCTGCTGCAGAATGTTGTCCTTGAACTTTGGTACTAAAGCCGTTTCAAATTACAAGTGGTTTGACTTTTTTTAACCTCGAATTTGACTACTCATCTTATTATAAAATCTGTGCTAAACATCACTTCTTTTGTCATGACTTGCTTTATTAACAAAAAGTTTTTTAAAAATGACTTAAATTGGACTATGTTTGTATAAATTTTTGCATAGAAACCTGTATGTGCTCTGACGATTCAGTTCTGGCCTTGTGAGTGGGTTCGGCGTCTACATCACACCCGTCACCCTGCACGACACAGGCCGCGACAGAAAGCCCCGAGGCCAAGGAATGAGGCCGCGACACAGGCCGCGCCGCAGGACGGATGGGGACGCTGCCGCTGTCGGCCGAGCCCCGAGGCCGGCCAAGGAATCGTCGGGTCTCGGAGTCCCGACGCTTGAGCAGTTGAGCCTCGTGACTGTCGATGCGGAACAAACGCCAAAGGGCTTCCCTCCTCGCTTCCCCTCATCCTCGGTCACAAGCAGAAAAAGCTCACACGCTCCCGCCCATCCTCGGTTGCGCCGCCGCTGCGAATGCCGCCTCCGGGGCCCCGCCTGCCGCCGCTTCTCCTTCTCCTCCTCCTCACGGCCGACTGCAGCAGCGGCCTCGCCGGTGCGGGGGAAGGCGGCTCCTGCGAGTTCTCCGTCGAGCGCGGCGGCGAGCTCTACAGCTTCGCCCTCGCGGCGCCGACGCCGGCGCACCGCCACGGCGTGCTCAGCGAGGACGGGTACGTGACGTAGGTACCCATGGCGAACTACTATATACTAAGACCAGTGTGATAATCATAACAGCATGACTGGTCATAGATCTAGCATATATACCGACATTTGATGAAGTGTAAACCTTAGAACATGTACGAGTACGGGATTAACAGATAGAGTGAAAAAGAGATAGGGGTTGAGGAGGTGCAAACCATCCGTCGCCTTTGTAGAAGACGAGCTGATCATGGGGTTGCTTGACGGTGGCGCGGTGAAGCCCGACGGTGAAGGCGCTGTCGCTGTGGCGACGGTGTAGAGGCGGCGGCGGCCGGTGGCGGTTTTCCCATCGCTGGCAGCACCTCATCTTAGATCGGTTAGTGTTTCGGGAATGTAGGTGGGGCGTCTGGCGGCTCGGGTGAACCTCGTGCCTTGTGCCCCGGTCCCCATCCTCTTTTTATGACGCTGTGCGACGGGGCCCACCAACCATAGAACGGTTGGACGCCCCCGATCAAGACGAGAATTCAAGGGCCCAATTGACCGTTGGGCCAATTGGTAGAGATCATCTAACATTCTCCTCCTTGATTTCACCTTATGACTTAAACTCAACTTACTTACTTTATCTTGTTCCCATTCCATCACAGATCAGTGTATAGAGCGTGCCTCATCGTCACGGTCAATTGTCATTAGATTAAACAGCTACAATGCACCTCTCTGTTTTGAAACAGATTCTCAACTAGGTCCTTATTGTCCAGGAATCATAGGTTTTCCCTTAAACCCATGTCGACTAAGTGTTCTGTGAACACGCTGGGTGGTAAGCCTTTTGTAAGCGGATCCACGAGTATCTTTTCTGTTCTTATATGCTCAAGACTAATTATATGATCCCGGACTTTGTCTTTCACAACATAATACTTTATGTCAATGTGTTTGGCAGCACCACTTGACTTATTATTGTGAGTGTAACATACTGCTGGATTATTATCGCAGTATAACTTGAATGGTTTATGTATGTCGTCTACCACTTTCAACCCGGACACTGTTGATCATTTTGAAGGGCTTTCCCTTGAGGTTTGGCATTCTTATTAAAATTCTTCTTCTTGCTGTCCTTCACAAGGTTAGCAGAGTCACCTTGTAAGGATTTCAGCCTCTCCTCTTCTTGAACACACATTGCGATGACCTTCTCTATATCCCACTTATCGGGCTGCATGTTGTAATTAACAACAAAAGTTTCATATTCCTTTGGCAAGGAAGCAAAACCAAATGAATCAGGAACCCATCCTTGAGCCCCAAATCCATTGGCTTCAGCTTTGAAGCCGTGTTGCTCATCTTCAGTATGTGCTCTCTGATACCGCCACCAGTATATTTTTCATTGAATAATTTCTTGATCAAAGTATTGGCATAAGCCTTTGAAGAGCTAGTGAACTGACTTTCCACCTTCTTAAGATACTCTGTGGCGGTATCACAATTTGGGATAGACCCTCTTATCGCATCTAAAATTGTGGACTTAGCCACCATCAAGCACTTGCGGTTTGAAATGTCCCATTTCTTGCGTTCGAGATCATACTTCTTCCGCACTTCTGCATGATCTCGCTGCCGAGCAGTGAAATCAGCATCAGTCTCATTATCTTCCCTTACCGGGTCCACTGGCTCAGTCGGACACGGGGAGGTAAGCGCTAGGTCATTTTCAGACAGCGCAAGTGCTATTTCATATTTCTCTCGCCATACCCTGTAGTTGCCCCCTTCAAGAGGCGGTTTGTGCGAGATAAAAGTCATTGGGTTTAGTCCTGAAAAACACCGTCAAAGATAGTGAGAAAATATAACATCGTAATTGCATGCTTTAATTTAACGCTGGTCAAAATTAAAACATACAACTTTCTTATACACTAATTCTACATCACCGTTGGACAGAAATAGAATTAATGCATGAAAAACTTATGAATAAACATTATAATATTGTTATTATCAACGTTGGTCAGAAAAATAACAACATTATAATTTACTGATTAAAAATGACTACTCTTCAAATTAAATTCTTCCGTTGGTTCGAATTTAATTAGAAGATGATAAACTTTAACATTGCAGCGGAAACATGAAAAATTCATTATCTATTTTTCAGAAGCATTTAACTTTTCTCAATTATTCTCTGAAAAATTATCCCGTTGGTTTAAATTTTGATAGAGATTTTAAATTAGACAAATATCATAAAAAATGCTTCTGAAAAAGAATAAAACATAAACTCGTAGTTCACTGTTCATTTGGCCCAAGCAGCAAAGCGGCCCAGCCTGTTCTGCTCTCGCGCGCGCTGCGCCTTCCCAGGCCGCAACCTGGGCCTGGGCCGACAAAGCCGCCCACCGCGCGCGCCCGCCTGGGCCGAATGCTGGCCCGTTCGCTCTGCACCGTCCATCTCAGATCGACGGTCGAGCGCACTCCTCGGCGGAACAAAAACCGGCGCGCGGCATCTCTCCCAAACCCTAGGCTCATTCGTCTCCCTCCCCTTCCTCTCTCGGTAGCAATGAGCAAAGAAGTGGTGGGGCAAGGAAGCCAGAGGTGATGCGCTGTTGCCAGCCCCTCGGCGTGGCGTGCACTCCCAGTGGGTGGGTGAGCGTCGCCGTTGAGTGGCCTAGCTGCATGGCCCTTGGCGAGCTTCATGAAGCCCGATGACGAGCAGCGGCTCGGGCTTTTTTTCTCTCGCTACCGACGACAGGGCGGCGTGGTGCAATGCAGTGAGGTAAGTTGCGTCTCCCAAGCCCTTCCCCTTTCCCCTTCTCTCTGATTTGGATCTCGCTCTATTCTTCTCGGATCTTGTCCGATTGGGGTTAGGGTTAGGGTTAGGTCGAGTTAGGGTTAGGGTTTGAGTACTGTTCTTCTTCCCCGAGCTTTCTACGCGGGTTAGGGTTAGGGTTCGAGTTCCTTTTCAAAACCGAGACCCTTTCTTACTCTTTTTCTTCACCCGATTTGGGTTTAGGGTTCGATAAACCCTCTGCTTAGATCCGAAACGGATCTACCACCTTCTTCTAAATGCTACTACTCGATTTTCTACTCCGATAGGCTAGATCTACGCCTAGTTAGGCGACTGATACCATTGATAGAAACATAACAGGATCACTAGCCATAGATCTAGCGTAGCTAATGACATTTGATGAAGTGTAAACCCTAGAACATGTATTAGTACAGGATTAATAGACAGAGTGAGAAAGAGATAGGGGTTGAGGAGGTGCAAACCATCGGCCGCCTTCGTAGAAGACGAGCTGGTCATGGGGTTGCTTGACGGTGGCGTGGTGAAGCCTGACGGTGAAGGCGCTGTCGCTGTGGCGACGGTGTAGAGGCAGCGGCGGCTGGTGGCGGTCTTCCCGTCGCTGGCAGCACCCCCTCTTAGATCGGTTAGGGTTTCGGGAATGTAGGTGCGGCGTCTGGCGGCTCAGGTGAACCTCGTGCCTTGTGCCCCGGCCTCCACCTCCCTTTTTATGGCGTTGTGCGACGGGGCCCACCAACCATGAAACGGTTGGGCGCCCCCGATCAGGGCGCGGATCCAAGGGCCTAATTGACCGTTGGGCCAATTGGTGGAGATCATCTAACACAGTGTACCAAACAGTGCTCCCCTGCGTCCATCGGGATGGGGATTGCCGTGAATTCATTACTGGGCCTGATTGTCTTACTTGCTGAGAGTTGAAGCTAAGACCTCCAGACTCATTGGCGGCTAGGGCAGCCTTTAGAAGTGTGCCTCGCCAAATTTGAATTCAATCAGCTCGACTCAGTTGCATACTTGTATTCTAATGTGTTAGAAATATTTGTTCTGGGGAATCGCATTTGTTGTGTTTATTATACCTATATGTTGAGTGTGTCCCATATAATAATGTAATGCCCATCTTGTGTTTCAGGTTTTACAAGGTGGCTGTGAATGATTCCATACTCTGGTTCCAGGTTGGTTAAGATAGTATACTCCTTTATGTATGAGTGCGTATTGCATATGCTGGCATATAGTACTTTCTAAATTTCCAAAAGCTAATATGATAAGCTGGTTAATAACTGAAAATAGACTCTTGAGTTTCCTAAAACACTCTCTTTCTGGAGGGGTGAGACTTTTAAGGTTTGGTCTTCCACTAATGATAGTTTTGTTTGTGCCATGCGTGCAGCTTTGCGATGAAATGCTATTCAACTTTGACCCACCTATGTGTCTTAATTGTGAGGTATACTCCCTTGGTCTAGCTATTCCATCAGTTAAACGCAAGATGTTCAGGTTTTCTCTAGGATTTCCATTACGGATCATTTGCACACTTGGCACTCACGCCTGTACTTCAACATTTAATTTCCATGCTCGCGCTGAATAAGCAAAGCATCATCCCTTGTTGCATTGTTTTATCTGGAACTATATTGAGTTTGTCTCAGCCTTTCCTGATTGTATTATCATCATCATCATCATCAACAACAACAACAACAACAACAACAACATAGCCTTTCAGTCACAAGCAAGTTGGGGTAGGCTAGAGTTGAAATCCACTAAGAGCCCCAAGTCACGGTTCAGGCATTTCAATAGCTGCTTTCCAAATACTCCTGTTCAAACATAGATCTCTAGGTATATCCCAAGCTTTCAAATATCTTTTTATTGCCTCCCCCATATCAATTTCGGTCTTCCTCTACCTCTCCTCATATTATTAGCTTGGTTGAGGACTCCACAATGCACTGGTGTCTCTGGAGGTCTCCTTTGGACATGGCCAAACCACCTCAACCGATGTTGGACAAGCTTTTCTTCAATTGGTGCTACCTCTAGGCGATCACGTATATCATCGTTCTGAACTCGGTCCATTCTTGTGTGACCGCAAATCCATCGCAACATACGCATTTCTGCAACACTCAGTTGTTAAACATGTCGAATCTTTGTAGGCCAACATTCTGCTCCATACAACATAGCCGGTCTAATCGCCGTTCTATAGAACTTGCCTTTTAGCTTTTGTGGTACCCTCTTGTCACAGAGAATGCCAGAAGCTTGTCGCCACTTGATCCACCCTGCTTTGATTCTATAGAACTTCCTGATTGTATTATAAATAGGATTTATATTATACGGCACAATTTATTTACTTGTCATTTGCTATTTTGTGTGTGTATTCTTTTTTATGGACACTGTTTCAATAGCAACTTCATTAGCTGTATTTGGTAAGATTTGACGAAGGATACGTTTTATCACTGGAAGATTGGCGCATTATAAGTGATACTTCACTTCATCTTTGCAATTAGCTTATTCATGTGCTAGGTGACAGTCTTTTATTAAATAATTTGAAAATTTGTCATGCCAAGGACAAGCTTAGGCCCTGTTTGGATCCATGGTCTAAAGTTTAGTTGGCTAAAGTTAAGGGCTAAACTTTAGACCACTTTAGCTCACTTGTGTGGTCTTAATGAGCTAATAGTATTTTTGTGAGGTTGGCTAAAGTTTAGACATCACTTTAGAGTTTAGACCACCCGTTTGGATTCTCAAGAAACATGGTCTAAAGTTTGGTGGCTAAACTTTAGACCATGGGATCCAATTGATTGAAATAACGTTATTTTTTAATAATTTAGGCTCCTCTGTACCTTCGCATTGAATGCTGTTAAAGATTATATTTTCTTGTTTGTTACTTTATTTATGTTTTTTCAAACTATTTATGTACCATAATCAAACTATTTATGTAACATAATAGGACTGTGGTGGTCCATCAAGGTGTGGAACTCAGTGCAGTGCACTTGTGTCAAATTATATTCGAGGTAGCTTTTTTTTCTTTCCTGAGTCCTGATTGGATATGTTTTCAGTAGTCTTTCCCTAGTATTTTCTTAATTGTGTATCAGGAATGGTACCTGTGGGACCATTGGTGTCCCCCATTTCCATTTTTCAAATATCGGTAAAAATTGTTAATGTGTGTAACTTTAACCTGCATTTTCTGTCTGCAGGGTATGATGTCTGCACAACTATTGGGAGTTTATCTAAATCCCATATATCTCTAGTTGGTAAGAATGACATAAAATTCTTTCAGAACTATTCTTTCTGTATCGATGTCTCGAATTAACATGATTGTTCTTTCATTGGGGAAATAATAGACGAGAGTAATCCTCAAAAGGGTATCATTGTTAAGATGTTCTCATCAAAGTGTTCTATTTCTGTTTCCGTTCTTTGCGAGTCAACTGCAGCCCAAGTGAGTAGATTCTTTCATTTACATCTCCTTGAAGTTTATTGTTTTGTTTGTTTCTCTGCCACCTCTTATTTTACCTTGGTATTTTATTTCCTCTCACTCATAGGTACCAGACAAATTCGTCATATCTGGTCTTTGTGATTATGTGGGTACCAAAAAAATTGCAATGGTGCAGTTTTCTACAGCAATTTTGTTTCCTTAAGACATTAACATAATTGTACCTCACAGGCTACAACACTTAAACACCCTTCTGGTTGTGCAAGGTCTGTTTCTGCTTCTGGAAGTGGCTGGGGATGGTTAAGCACTTCGTTCATGACGTATGTTCTTTTGAGCTGCATATAATTATGTGAACCTGGAACCTGCTATATTAGACAATTAATCTGCAGTAGGAAGAAATTGAATCTAGCTCAGCTACTGGAAGGGGTGAGTAATACACCCCTAACCTCCCTGGTTCAAGTCTATTTTACCTTGAATTTGGGTGCCCATTTCTTTTTAATACAAAACTATAGTCTTGTTTGTGAGTTCCCATCATCGCAGAGTTTCACACTTTTTTCTTTTAGCAGTTCTCAGCTTGATTAATATCTAATTTTTCTGCAGAATTCTGTGCCTTCTTGGAGGGTACATTTTTATTGGAGCAGTTTACAGATACTATTTCCTTGGCATTCATTCTGTAGAGGTAAAGCTTGTCTTTCAAGAGTCCTCCATTTATATGCCTCATTCGTTTTATGTCAAATTATATGGAGTTTGATGTTATTTGCTTGGTAAGGCTAGTTGTAACTCTCATGGTTTCTCATCAATAAGCTCCGATCCATAGTTTTAATCACTAGAGTTACATGAAAAATCTCATTAACCCAACTCCCACTTCACTGATACATCTGCATGCGTGTGCGCATTGATGGTTATTCTAAATAATTTTGTTTCCCGAAATCTGTAGGGAAAAGTACCATTTCGTCCTAACTTTGTGCTAGATAACTTTTCATTAATGTTCCCAGCACTGGGAATGGGCTCAAGAAAACTTATACTAATACAACAACAACAACAACAACAACAACAAAGCCTGTCAGTCCCAAACAAGTTGGGGTAGGCTAGAGTTGAAACCCGCCAAGAGCCTCTAGTCACGGTTCATGCACTTCAATAGCTTATTTCCAAGCACTCCTATTCAAACATAGATCTCTAGGTAAAGAAAACTTATACTAATAATTTGTTAAAATTTGTATTAGTCTTGAGTTGGACCAACTCCTCAAGGCACGATTTCAAAATAAATTTGGACTGTAGTTGAGCCCAGTGTTTAGAGACAACTTGCTCCTCAAAATGTTGAATTGTACTGAAGTTTTACCAAAATCAATCTGTGAGACCACAAGTTTAATCTCGTAATTGATTTGATTCCAGCTTCATGTTTCTTGAATATACGTAGCGGCAGTGAAACTATTGATTGCTTGTGGACAACAAGGTCCACCTGGCTATGAAATAAATTTTTTGACCATTCTACTTGGATTTGGTGGAAATTGGTTTGTTCAATTGGGTTTCCCAATTTCTAATTGGATTGTGAAAGAAATGCATTTAATTAAACAACTACGGTAAAACAAACTGCGAATAAAGAATGTAAATTTATCAATAAATCAAATATTTTTTAATAAAAACTACAAGTGAATCATAGCTCCCCCTTGTAAACAATGAACATTCCCTTGAAATTGTGATTAGACCAGCCTTCACTTGTGCTGATATTTCTGTGAGCAGTTAACTTAGGAACCCACTCCATCCATTACACTTCAACTTCATGATGCTTTTGAACCACTTGTCTTACTCTTTTCTTATATTGTAGGCCATTCCAAACCTGGAATTTTGGATTGGTCTGCCCCAACGCGTTAAGGTAAGAGATGTATATTAACTTTTAAATGATTGCTATTCTCTACTAGCAACCTGCTGTATGTGAGGATTTCGTTTCATTCGTCCCTTTTGATTTACATGTTATATTTGCTCTGTACATTTATCAATTACCAATACAACCAGCCCTAGTGTTAAACTTCACATGATGGGTGCAATGAGTAGTAATTTATACTTGTAAACAAGTTTCAATTATAGCAGTAATATACCAAGGTCTTCAGTACTGCGGAGTATTTAGTTACCTGCACTTGACCAGTCGCAATAAGAAACATGCTGTTGTTTTTTCCTTCTGAAAGGAAAAGGTAGTTTTGCAATTTACAGGTGTCTGTTGAAAATTTCTAGAGTTCCTTTACTTGCTTTTCATGTTCTGAGTGTCATCAATCATCAAATGTAACCTTATAACTTGCTCATCCATCTGTCCAGACTATCTTTGTTCCTGCAACAAGAAGTCACGTAAGTTACAACAGAGATGGTCAAGGCACATACGCCCCTGTATACCATTGAGAAGGTGGGCATTCAAGAAATTTTATTGGCAGCCATACAGTTAAGCACATGATAGTATGGACTGGACAGCAGGATGAATCTTTGTTCTTGCCGAGATACAGGTACTGTCAATGAGTCATGTATCTTATCCCTTGTGTTAGTTTTAGGCTGTATCTGGTTGAACTTTCACTGGGACAAGTGATTGCAGTTACAACCAACAGGTTCATATATTACCTGTAATTAGGTTTCTTTTCTTTCTCTTACTTTTTTTGGCGGTAGCCGAAATAGTTGCTGGTCAACAATTATTTCATAACAAATGGCACCATTGCACTATAATACAGATGTCATGATCACAATTCATTGCTTTCAAGTATGGAATCATTTTGTCTCAAACTTACATAACGTGTGCATCAGTCTGAAGTCTGAACTAAAACCTAGGTATGATTTATGTACATAATAATATCATCTCACCATGCGAGTAATAGTCAATCAAATGTGGTGAGCTATTTAATTCTGGTTTCCTTTTCAGAACTAATCCCTCCATTTTAAAATATTAGTCCACCTCGGAAGCATAATAATAAATATAATCCTGCTTTAATCATGCTTTCCGTAATCTACTGATCTATCTAAATAGTTACAAGTATGATACAATTATGTAATATATTACATTATTACTCAACATTTTGCTTCCTAGGTATGCAAGTGGGACTTATATTGTGAAAGGGATGGAGTATTTGAATGCCATGCAACAAGAGTTCTGGTGAAATTTTTATAATTTTGAACATGTACCATCATCACCATCAAATGTGCCATGAGGTTGATGTAAACTTCCAAAATCCTCACCTTCATCCGTTCTGCTAATTTTTGCAAATGCTGTAGCACAAATCTACACTGTTTAGAGGGTTGATAGTATGTTTATCTAGATGAACATTTTATTATGCAAATGATTGGTTGGATTTGGAACCATGAAACAGACTGGTGTCGCATGCTTTGTTATGAATTTAGCTTAGCTTGTTGCTTGCGAACTCTTCTACACAAAGATAATCTCACAATCTGAATCATACAATCTCTCTGTCGAATGAACTTGTAGGGCTAAGATATGCAAACACTAAGGTTCTGATAGTTTTTTTTGCAACTTGATGCTTGTGCTCTGGATGTGGGCAAGAGAACATAAGACTGAGACCTCCAATAGCTGATTCTCTGTTGTTCTTTTGGCATTGGAAGGCTAGAAATCTGTTCAATGGAAGGCAGATGAATCACTCTTGTGAAAATGTAATGAAAGTAATGTGATGTGACTTTATTGTGAGTAGAGGAACAAATTATCATTCGGAATGCTGGTAGTTTTGCTTCATTTCTTGCCATTCTTTTAGCTTAGAAAGTAATGTAACTGTTTTTTGTGAGCTATGGCAAGAAGGAATCTTGCAAAGTGTTTATATTTATGTTTCCATTTCCTATCTTTCAAAACATGGAGCTCCTTTTTCTTGCAGAGATAAATATGCCTATTTCAGAATGTGTAATCATGCTTATTTTCTTTGTTTCCTTCTTTGTCTCTTGAGCTCTTCTCTGTCCTCTGTAGCTTGTAATTCGTAGTCCTTGAACTTTCTGTTCTGCCTGTTTTTTTTTTAATAAATTTCAGTAGGGGCGCAAGCCCCTCCTGTTTCGCTAAAAAAATGCCTATTTCTGCAATTCCTCTCTAGCACGATCTTTGTGCATCAGTCATTTCAGAATGTGAATCTCACATTAGAAGACAGCTTCACTTCACTGAAATAGAGCTGCTGTTGCGCAATTTTGCCACGTGCTGCTTTGGATGCTGGGGTGGAATCATTCCAATATGATGGTGTAGTGGAAATGAGAACTTGCTTGAAATTGGCAGATTCCTTTTTAATGGTTGTGACTTTATGATGGTCACTTGTTTTACTCTTGGAAGATCAATTGTGAATTACACTGTGACCTTTCATCATGTAATTGAATTTGATTCTGAGTGTTGATGTGGAGTTGCAATTGCAAGTTATCATATGTTGATAGAATCTGTCGGGGCATAATACGATGCCATGTTGCAGATTCCACAGCAAAGGGGAAGGGAAAGAACTTGCAACCGCTGCAACCGGATCGTTTTGTGTGGAGATGGTCTTCCTCTGGGGCGTACTCGGTCTCCTCGACATACCGGGCTTTCTTTGCAGGATCAACCAGGCTCCTGGGAGCCAAAGAGCTTTGGCGTACCAAGGCGCCGCCACGGGTAAAGCTCTTTTTCTGGCACGCCAACCGTCGCAAGCGGCATGGCCTTCAAGACGACGACGCATGTGCTCTATGTGATCAGGCACCCGAAACAGCGTGCCACTTGTTCCTCGGATGCGTCTTCTCCAGACAAGTCTGGCACGCGTTGTTGGAGCCCATACATCTGCTGGCTCTATTGCCGGATGGCGTATAGGAACTCGGCGAGTGGTGGATACAACAGAGGGGTCGGATCGACCTAGCGTCCAGGCCCCTATTCGACTCGTTGCTGCTCCTTGTCGCCTGGACAATTTGGAAGGAAAGAAATTGTCGAGTCTTTGGTAGAGGGCCATCTTCGGTGCTCGATGTCGTCAGGGCGGCGATCAAGGAAGGCGAAGACTGGGCGCTAGCAGGCTTCGCGCCTCTGGCCGCGCTTCATCTGTATTGGTCGCAAAATTCTTTGGGCATGTAATCGCAAACTTTGGATCCAGTAGTCAGATAGGACTCAACGCCCGCGCTGCGCCGCCTGCGTACGGTTTAAATTCTCTTCCTCTTAATAAAAAAACGGACACACCCGGTTGCGAAAAAAAGGGGAAGGGAAAGAAAACAAAACTGATCCCTGATTATGTTTGGTTATTTCTATCACGAAGCTGTAGATTATAATGACTCTTGTCAACTTGTGTTGCCTTATATTCTACTGCTCCTGATGTAGCGAATGGAGAAGGCCAGCATGGCTAAATAAGTTGCATATGGGGAGAACCCGTCGTCTTCCTCACGGCGGCACCCTCCCCCCTGGCACCCCTCCTCCACCGCCCTTCACCACCGATGGCCGGAGGCTCCCGCCGCCTCACCGCACCGTCCACCTCCCGCCCGCGCCTCTGCCCCCGCCCCCGTCCTGTCTTCCACCATCGGCGGCTCCCGTCACTTCGCCACGCCACCCACCTCCCGCCTCCACCCCTCGGCCCCGTCCTCCCCTAATCATAGGGCGGCACGTCGATGAGCTCCGCCACGACGCCCCCGCCACAAGCCCCATCCAACCGCCGTCTCTTGTCGTCCTAGCGGGCGCCGCCACCGCCACCATACCCCGCCGCTGTCTCTCCCGCCTCCACCGCCATATCACGGCCTCCACCCTAAAAACCCTTCTAAGCTCGTCGGATAGCAGATCCCTAACCCGCCGGAACCCTAGCCACCGCCGTTTTCTTCTTTGTCTCCGGTGGGGCATGGGCTCAGGTGTGTGGGCGTGGTCGCGCGGGAGAGGAGGAGGGAGAGCTGGGTCGCGCTAGAGCGCGACGGTCGCGTGTTTGAGATTGTGTTTTGGGAAATCAGGCTGCTTCAGTGTTTGTAATGGTGGCAACCCTTTACTCGTTGCCAGGTTGAATATTCTGCCCGCTTTTAGAGAGTGGCTGTTGCTTGTACCAACTGCTACCAGGCCGCCACTGCCCTCCTTTTTTTTCGTTTCACAGCCACCGTGTTGGAGTAGCATATTTTTTTTCTCCCTCGTTCCTGGAGGAACATCCAATGAGTCTCACGTATCAATGCAGGATGCAGCATTAGCAAGTTGATAACAGCCCACTTAACTTGTATATTTATATATATATCTGATAGATCATATGATCCCTGATCGTGAAGTTGATGGTATGTGGATCCCTGATTCCCTGCAAATTTTGGTGCTGTTGACCTGCGATCCTCGTGTTGGACTTGCCTTTCTCCTCGCCCCTTCTTCCAAGCGCACAACCGATATCACACGTACGAATGGCACTCACAAATTGGCTTCATCTTTCCAAATAAAAAACTTGGTTAGCCAGGTCAAAGCGTCCAATATAACACAGACAACAACAGAACTAGACCACGACTTGATCTCTGCAACAGAAACAAAACCCAACTTCGTCCTGCTTATAAACCAGATAATAATTCGTAAAAAAATTCAATAATTTAGTCCCAATTCGGCTTGCACACAGCAAATCAGGAAATATACTAGAAAATACAAATATACAAATCCGATGGCCGGGGATGTAGCTGTTCGGAGTCCGCAATACCCAGATTGCCCGAAACAAGAAAAAACTAGGGAGAGAAACACGAGGTTTTTACCTACGTGCCATTATAAAATGTTATAATTACCTACAAGCTATTAAAAAGTTTGAGCAGTCACATGTGTTATTGATCTAAACTTATTTGCTAAATGCGCCATTCCGTCCACATTCCGTTGAATTTTCTCCATTTAGCAACTTTGTCACGTGGGCCCGGCTAGTCAAGAAGTCCAAAATGCCCTCCCCTCTTCCAATCCTATCCTCTGCACGTCAACGCCGTCCGCCACCTCCCGCTGCTACGGGCCTCGCCGCTCGCGGTGGCTGGTCCAGAGCTCGCACACGGCATGACCGGAGCTCGCCCACGTTGGCCGGGCCGCCTCCTCGCATCATGACTGCTGGTCACCGAGGACCAGCTACGGCAGGCGTGGCCCCGTTCCGACCTCGCCGGCCTCCGCAACCCCTCCCGGCGCATCCATGGCGGGGACGGTGCAGGTGAAGGCAAGGGGAAGGGGATTACTGCACGCTGCTGCTAAAGCAGCAGCTTGCCGCGGTGACGGAGGTGGCGAGGTGCAGGTGCTCTCAAGGGCGGCGGTAGCCGGCCCCGGGGTTTCACCTTCGTCGAGTACCTCGACGACGAGACGGCCCTCGGCGCCTGCCGCAACCTCCGCGTGGGCCTAGCGCAGCGCCCGTCGCCGCCCTCTGACCAAGGGCTTGGGCGTCGACGGCACCACACACGCCACGTCGCTCCTCGTGCCCGGCGTCCACCCATGCGGCGCCGTCACGTCGTACCTAGCCGGGCTGAGCCGCCGGCAACTGCGCGAGTTGCTGGACGCTCTGGACCAGGAGGACGCAACGCTCATTGAGCATGCCAAGCGGGAGTTCGCCGGGCTAACCACGGGTGCTGCTCGACATGGCTTCGGTGCCTGGCGCCGCCACTGGGTGTTCTTCTCCCCAGATCCTGTGCGCCCGCCCTTCCGGGAAGCTCACGCACCGCCCGTGGAGCTCGCCACGGCCGTGCAGCGCCACCACGCTCACCATGGCCGGCCAGCTCGCATGTGGCCGCCAAGCGCCACGAAGCTCGCCGTGCGCTAGCCCAGCGCCGGCAACCCGCAGACCGTGCACGTCGCCGCTCGAGCCGGCTGCCGCCCACGCGTGCTCTCGTGGAGCTCGCCGCGGCCACCCTGCGCGCACGGATTTGTTCCTGCACGTTCCTACGCGCTCCAGGCGTCGTCGTGTCGAGTGCGCCTGACTGCCCTCCTCGCCATCGATGTTGGCGGCGGCAAGCGCATGGCTCCTGTGCTCGATCACGCTGGTGGAGGAGCTCAAGAGCTACCAACGACTCTCTCTATGGTGGACACCATCACTACTCCATCAGTGTCATCGTTTGGATCCCCGTCTAGGACCGCGTCATTGTGCCCTCCTATATCGGCTGGCCCCATGGGGGTCACGCAGCTGCAGCGGATGGGCATCGGCCTTGTCGTTTCCATCTTCTCCATGGTTGTGGTGGGCATGCTGGACATCGTTCAGCTGTGTGACATTGCGCGGCATGGCCTGTATGCCAAGGATGACATCGTGTCCATCTCCATCTTCTGGCAGATACCGACATTCGCCCATGCGGTCGGGCCAGCTGCGCTGGGGAGGCGCGACATCGTTGTCGTGTGGTGTGGTGTGGTGTGGCACGATGCAGACTTGAAAAGCCTGGAGTGGGTCAACGACCTCGGATCACGCCTCTGCTCGCCGCATCGGTCCTTGGCTACGCAGCCGCCGCCAACCCCTTCGCGCTGGTGCACATGGGTTTATCTGTCCCTGTACATGTCCGATGGTGGTGGTGTGGACATGCAGTAGTATGGAACAAGCTTGTGCATGCGCTGCTGGTCTGTGTGTGTGGAGAACTTTCAGTGGCACTAGAGGAGCGTTCAAACGTAAGGGCATTCTAGATTTTTTTCAGCGCAGTTTAACATCGTTAGGGAACAAAAGTGAACGGAATAACGTAGAGTGCAGAAAAATTCCGACACTTATGACCGCTCAAATTTTTTAATGGCTTATAAGTAATTACACTCTTTTGTAAAGGCACCCAGCTAAAACCGTCAAGAAACAGCGCAAGGAGGCCGGAACTGGAAGGATGCAGCGAGATCGATTTGACCACCACCTCCTCTTCCTCGCCGTCCCCTCCTCCTGAATGGCGACATCCTCCTTCCCCTCAAATCTCTCCTCTTTACTTCCTTCTCCTCCTCGTGCGCTCCCCTCGCCACGCCCCGTGCTCCCCGCTCAAAACCCTAGCCCTGCCGCAGCCGCCTTCCATGGCTGCGGATTTCCGCACCCCCGACCGCCTCCTGCCCGCCGCAGCTGAGGAGCCGACGACCCCGCCGGGCCACCCTTCCAATCCGGTGCTTAGCACCCCCGCCGTCCCCGACGCCACCCACGATGGCCTCCGCTTCTGGCAGTACATGCTCGCCGGCTCCGTCGCCGGCGTCGTCGAGCACACGGCGATGTTCCCCGTCGACACCCTCAAGACCCACATGCAGGCCAGCATGCCGCCCTGCCGACCGGCTCTGTCTCTGGGGGCGGCCCTGCGCAACGCCGTGGCCGGCGAGGGCGGCGCCCTCGCCCTCTACCGGGGACTCCCCGCCATGGCGCTCGGCGCGGGCCCCGCACACGCCGTCTACTTCTCCGTCTACGAGTTCGCCAAGTCGGCCCTCACCGACCGCCTCGGCCCCAACAACCCCGCCGCGCACGCCGCCTCCGGGGTCGTCGCGACCGTCGCCAGCGACGCGGTCTTCACGCCTATGGACACCGTCAAGCAGCGGCTGCAGCTCACCAGCAGCCCCTACACGGGCGTAGGGCACTGCATCCGCACCGTGCTGCGCGACGAGGGACCTGGCGCCTTCTTCGTTTCCTACCGGACAACCGTGGTCATGAACGCACCCTACACCGCTGTCCACTTTGCCACCTACGAGGCGGCCAAGCGGATGCTCGGGGACATGGCCGCCGATGAGGAGTCCCTCGCCGTACACGCCACCGCTGGGGCCGCAGCAGGGGCACTTGCCGCGGCGGTCACCACGCCCCTCGATGTTGTCAAGACGCAGCTACAGTGCCAGGTGAAGATCTAGTGCACTTGATTTGCAATCTGACCAAAGCTCTGATTTTTAATGCTCTGCAACAATATTAGAGCTGATTTGAGTGATTTCTGATGGCTTACCCACCAAAAAGGAGGGATCTCTTATAGGATCTAGTTATCCTATTCATCTCCAAGATTTTTGGAAACAATTGTGCAATGAAGCTAGTATCCTTTTGTGTTCCTTTGATCTGCTAGTGGTGATCACTGCTCTAAGGATGCCCAGTGGCATTACTGTGGAAGCCTAGTGACATAGTAACAAAACCTTTTTAGTGCTGCCGCCACTGAAGAGTGAGATGTAATTCTGAGGGCCAGTTTGGAATGCAGGAATTTCACAAGAAAAACGTAGTATTCGGGGAAAAATCCTGTGTTCCAAACGGAGTCTGAGCCACATGTCCATATAAGGACTAGATTCATGTTGTGTCAATTTTGGATATAAGAATTAAGAGAAATCAACATCAAAGCAATAGGTATAATTGTTTGACGCTATAGAGATGGTATAGCACATGCCAATAGCTGACCCAGTGTTCAACAAGGCGCTGTTCCGTGCTCGCCTAGGCGCGCCTCCACGCTGGGAAGAGGGGTACCGCCTTGCCTAGGGGGGTAGGTGGTACCTAGGTGGTGGAGGAGGAAGGGACGTCGGGCCGGTGGGGGAGGAGCAGCCTCGGGTGGAGTTAGACGGCAGGCGCGGGCGTATGCGGGCGCAGATTGAGAGAGAGAGAGGCGGCAAGCGCGGACTGAGAGAGTTGCGGGAGAGGGAGAGGAACTGGCGGCGGCGGCGGGCGCAGACAGATGCTGGCGAGAGAGAGATGCGGGAGAGGCTGTAATGTGGGAGAGTTGGGCCGTTAAATGGGCCTTCTCTTTCTCCCTATTCCATGACCACTGATCTCCTATTTTTTCTTTTCTTTTAAGTATTTATGCATATATTAGCCACCGACTAGAAAAACGCCTAGGCTCTAGGCGATGGGTCACCGCCTAGATACCACCTAGCGCCTTTTCTAACCTTGAGCTGACCTGCAAAATTGTGCTGAAAATCGAATTGGAAACTCCTAGAAATCATTAACCACACACATCAGCAACTTTGTAGTTCAAACTCCAGGCCTTCAAATATGTTTGAATAACCTGTCTATCACATATAGAGTTTATACTTAACGTGACGTCAAATTAGAATTCTAGATTGCAGTCTCCACCGATTGCATGTTCTCTGTCTAGTCTACTCCTTTGTTTGGTTGTCATATCATTTGCGGTGTGTGTTTGAAGAACTTTAAATGTTATGATTGTCTGGCTATGTTTAAGTTAAACATTCTTGTTAAATACAACATGTTCTCCTTGACTTATCTGTTTGTCTTTATCTTTCGCTAGCTTCCATGATCTACATTGATTCCGCCAGCTTAAACATGATATAAGAAAAAGAGAAACAAATGGATATACATGAAAGGAACATGAAACCAACCTGGGAAGGCTTTTCCTGTAACGTATAGACCAGTGTGACCTTGCTTGAATATTGTTTTAACTGTTTTTCATTTAATTCTTGAATTGTATACTGAAAATAGTGTTTCATATTCTATGGGAAGTTATCAAGTGCAAATGCACCATTAAGTGAATCATAAAGTCTTTCTTGGTTTGGGTGCAAATCAATAGGAAAGACGCAGCTGGCAAAATAAATATTTTTCTCGCAGATTAAAAATGTTGGCAATCGTATTTACCCTCGTCTCCTTTCCTTTCCCGGAGGATATCTCTTGGATTTGGTAGTTATAGTTTGCACGCACCCGTGATTAGCTTCCGCGTTAGGAGGTAGTGTCCCATGTTTTTGTAGAATATGTAGAATGCTATTTTTTAAGACAAATTTTAAACCTCTACAAGTTACTTATTTTGGGACGGAGGTGAGTATATTCTGTTTTATTGTGGATGGTTTCTTTAAGGTTTGATATTTTTTTTATCTTTGTGAATGTGAATTCTATCAACCTGCTTTCAGTTTCATCAAGATAGTAACACTCATTTTGGTGATCAGGGTGTGTGCGGCTGTGAGCGCTTTTCAAGCAGCTCGATAGGCGATGTGTTTAGAACAATCATAAAGCGAGATGGGTATTCCGGGCTCATGAGGGGATGGAAGCCAAGAATGCTGTTCCATGCACCTGCGGCTGCGATATGTTGGTCTACATACGAGGCCTCAAAGTCATTTTTTGAAAGGTTCAATGAAGAAAGGCGGAAATAGTCTGGGCATTTCTCTAAGCCCCATGTATTTTTCCTGAAGTCAATGTACTTCCATACAGAAGCATACTCGCTCAGCTGACAGAAAGACGAAGCTCCAGGATGCATTTGTTGTGATGTTGTGCCCAAGAGCTATCACTGGAAATTGAGATGTGGCACATCAATATCTGTCTGTACCATGTTTTCTTTCCAGATAATTTGGTGTACTATTTTTTCCAGCCTCGGGGTGAGGAAATAATAGAAGAGAATACTTCTTTTTCCATGTGTTGATCAGAATTGCTCAGTGTCAGCAAGCTTATTCTGCATTGTTGTAGCCCCATATTTTTTTTTATAATGCAAAGGCTTTGTTTTCGTTGAACATGGTTGGTAATACGTTAAATGTTTATTTATGTGGCTGGAATGAACAATAACTAATGATTTAACTCGAGCTTAGGTACCGTTTGGATCCTTTAGGATTTTAAGAATCAGGATTAAAAAATCCAATGTATTTTATTGGATTTTGTGTCTGTAAAATCTGATAGAATCCTAGACTGTTTGAAGAGATTTTAGGTTGAGGTTTTTTTTATCCGGATTCTTAGAATCCTTAAGGGTCCAAACGGGCGCTTAGCATGAATTTGCTGCGGCGGCGGCGCATGAATTAATAAGTTTAATATTTCTAGTTCCCCCAGAAGCAGCGCAGCACCAGTGGTCTAGTGGTAGAATAGTACCCTGCCACGGTACAGACCCGGGTTCGATTCCCGGCTGGTGCATTTTTTTTTGTTACAAAAGAAATGTATTTTTTTTCTTCTTATCCAAAACTGTCAGCATCTCCTTCAGTCCACCGCGTCTGGAGCAGCAGCTTCTCGTGTATTCTTTCACATCTAATCCTCGTTCAGTCGTTCCGATGAACTGCCAGACACTCAGTTTAAAATCTGACAGATTGTTCGAGCTGTCTTGAGCTCTGCTTGGGCCATTTTGTACTGACACGAAACATATATGTTGATATATGCAATGAGCATAAGTTCTGAATCCTTCCAGGTATTAAATTCTCACAGCAAAGCACGAAACACACCGGTGCAAGCAAATTTCTCAGCTAGCTAAATGACTGTAGAATTTATTCCTGCAAGCAACCATCTCAGCGTGCACTAATAAGCATTAAGCAAGATGAAGCTCGTCCATCTCATCGTGCAGCAAGCAAGAGGAAGCTCGTCTATCCATGCGAGCCGCGATAGCAAAATTAAGTTAGAACTCGTCGACGGTGATGCCGCCCCTGACGACCTCGTAGGCGTCCCGGCTGCGCGACCTCTTGATTCCCGCGGTGAAGTGGACCTTGGCGGCGTCGGCCTTGACGGCGGTGACCCTGGCCCAGACGAGCACCTTGGTCTTGACCCCCTCCACCTCCGTGAGGCGGCCGTCGCCCAGCGTGCCCGACACCGTGGCGTCGAACCGCAGCTCGGAGCCGTCGCGGTACCCGACCTCGCAGGGGGACGGGATGTACACCGTCAGGCGCCGCGTCTCAGGCGCGAAGTCGTAGTTGGTCGCCTCGCGCGGGAACAGGCCCACGGGGAGGCCGTGCTCCTTGAGCAGCTCCGCCAGCGGCTTCTGCATCTTGCCTTTCAGCTTGTTCACCAGCCATTTCGCCCCGTCCCCGACGCTGGTCGACAGCGACTGCATGCAGTAGGAAACATCATCGGCGCGATCAGCAAATCAACAAACAAGAGACAAGACCTTTCCTTTTTCGTTTTTCCCTCTGAAAATGTCTGACAAAAAAACTCAGCTTTAATTAAGAGAACCATGAATCCATGATGCCAAGTATCCCGATAAAAGGATGATGGAAACCAGGGTTGTTCATCCATGGCTCATGGCTGTTCTATAACTAACTTTTATTAAAACCACTAATCGATTCATCCATGACTGTTGTAACTTTCAGCTTCTCTATCTATTCGTCAGAGGGCATAATAAGGACGAACAGAGCTGTGTGTGAGCTGTGTGAGACTTGCTTGAGCTGAACGACGCTAGGATGAAACAGAAATTTAACCAGACATAAGCTGCAAGAAAGAGCAGGGGTGGGATGGGATGATTTTGTCTCACGGACTTCGAGGTCGTTGCCGGCCGAGGAGATCTCCTTGTTGGCCCTCTGCCCCAGCCAGTAAGCGCCCACCTTGTTCATGATCTCGTCCATCTCTTGTTTCCTTCCTCTCTCCAAACAGGCGAGCGGCCCCGGGCGGCGATCTCTCTGCTGCTGTCGCTGCTCCTTCCTGCGTGCGATCTCTTGCTCTGATTCTAGGTTTACTTCTTTGCTACGCGGAGACGAAGAAGAAAGGAATCGTGGGAGGGTGCGTCCTGGTTCACCAGGTCGCGCGTTGGATGCGACCGGATCAAATCAAAAGCCAGAAGCGGGCGAGGAAGATGTGTCCCCCACTGCCGAACGAAAGCGACGGCTCTTTCCTCCTCGCATGGGTTTGGTTGGTCACTGGCAGCCTGTTCGCTTGCTCGTAAACGATCTGTAAATTTCAGTCGGGAACCAGTGTTTTTTTCTCACACCAAACCAGCCAGCAGTAAATAATCCACGATACGATACGGCCTCCCGAACAGGCTGTTGGTCGTCGGCACGGCACGGTTGCGCTTGCGCGTATGGAAAATCCGGCAGCTGACGATGGACATGCGTGTAAGGTGCAACTCTACGACACATTAGCCACGTACTCACGTCTCGCCTCTTGACTTCCGGAAACCTCCGCCGTGGCCCGTGATGCTAATAAAAGGAAAGGCCTTTCCGTGATACAATTGGGCCACAATGCTATGGGCCTAAGACGCGCAAGTGTAACACACCTCTCAAGTCCGGCCACAAAATAGGCTTCTCCAATACTCGGCCCGTCTCACGTACTGGCATTCCACCCAGCCTGGTCGGCCCACTCCCCGGGGCTAGGGTTTTAACGAAGCGTATAAGAACTCCCACCCGAGCATCCACCCACGCCTCCTCCAAACCCTAGCGCCGGCGCCTCCACTTCGCTTCCTCACCCCATCTCCTCCCGCTCAGGTATCCCATCTCCGCCTCCGAGTCCACCATCGATCTGGCGCCGCGTTCTCTGATTATTACCTCCCCGTGCGCTGGTTGCTGATCCGTGCTCTGCTTTCCGAATCTCCTCCTTGGCCACAGGGTCCGGCGGCGAAGGGAAGGCAAGATGTACACCGCGAGGAAGAAGATCCAGAAGGAGAAGGGCCTTGAGCCCTCCGAGTTCGAGGACTCTGTCGCCCAGGTGAGCTGAGTGCCAATCCCCCTCCTCTCTCCTCCCACTGTTGCGTTTCCTTTCCTTCGGACTGGTGCTCTGTGTGTGGTTGCCCATGTGTCGGGGTTGTGATGTGTTTTCGGCTGGTTTTTACTGTACCTGCAGGCTTTCTTCGACCTGGAGAACGGCAACCAGGAGCTCAAGAGCGACCTCAAGGACCTGTACATCAACAATGCTATGTAAGATTACCGTTTCTTCCTACTATCTATTGTCGCCTGTTGAGATGTAGTAGCCTGTGTTTTTTTGGTTTGGACATTGGGTGACGATGCTTGTTGTGACTTTGCAGCCAGATGGATGTTGCCGGGAGCAGGAAGGCTGTTGTGATCCACGTCCCGTACCGCCTGCGCAAGGCCTTCAGGAAGATCCACGTCAGGCTCGTCAGGGAGCTTGAGAAGAAATTCAGCGGCAAGGTGAATTTCTCGTTTTGTTTTTCTACTGCTGTGTTTAGTTTATATGCTAATTGTAGCTACTGCATAAGCTAGGACGAGGTAATGGATTTAGATGCCGTGTGGGACTTCATACATGTATGCAACTCATGTTGATTATTATCAGGATTAGGAGATTTAGTAGCACCAAAGCTACCATCCTATTGTAATTCTATTACTCTCGCATAAAATTGGTTGTCATGAACAGCTAAGCTGTGGTCACAGCTGATTGTCAATACTGTCGTCCTCATATATGTAGTCCATTCCTTTGGCTTATTTCAATGTTTGAATTATTAGTTCTCGATGAAATGAGAAGAAACTTCTGACTCTCTTTGCCAATTTATTACATGTTAGACATATCTACTTGTACTACACATACTACCTCTATTTTTTGTTTTGTTAGCACTTGAGTGCTTGCTTGGTCTTTTTGTGATATAGATATATGTTTTGTTGTCATAATGAGTCTGTTTGTTATTATTGTGATTCTTGTACTATAGAAGATGTTTAGAAACTTTTGGCAAAACAATCTTGTTTGGGCCACAATATTACAGTCAAGTTTGCCAGGATACTTGATCATGTATTTTACTCGTCACAGGATGTGGTAATTGTTGCCACAAGGAGGATCGTGAGGCCACCCAAGAAGGGTTCAGCTGTTCAGCGCCCTCGCACCAGGACTCTGACTGCTGTTCATGATGGCATCTTGGAGGATGTTGTCTGCCCAGCTGAGATTGTGGGGAAGCGTGTCAGATACCGCCTGGATGGTGCCAAGATCATCAAGGTATATGCTTCCATCTTGCTTTCTTAAGATAATCTACATTTCCTATTCAGTAACTGAAGGTTGTCACTGTCATCTCTACTGAGTTGTATTCACTTGTACATAAACACTTAAAACTTGCCTAGGCTTTTGTTTGTTACAATTGTTTTGGATACAATTTATGGTTTTGGTAACATCTTGCAGCAAGTACTGAACGTTTTCTTGTGATGCCATTCAGATCTTCTTGGACCCAAAGGAGAGGAACAACACCGAATACAAGCTGGAGACCTACACTGCGGTCTACCGTAGGCTGTGTGGGAAAGACGTGGTCTTTGAGTACCCTACGACCGAAAATGCATAAAGATGATGCCCTGGATATCCCCATTTCATTTCGTTGAATCTGGATGTTTTATTTGGGTCTCAACTAGTTTGCTCCCTATGTACTTCAAAAATCATAGTTTTGATGCCAAAGTTGTTGCCTAGGAATTCGGTTCTCAATTGGCAGTGGACGTGAACAATGTTAAGTTTTGAGCATTTAAATTAAACCTCCTTTGCCCTGTTAACTTGTTGCGAGTTGTTATTTAATTGGTTGTCACTAAATTGTGAATGGCAACTGCAGATTTTTCTGGGATGATGTCCAATTATACCAACATTGATTACATCTCTTTTGTTCATCCTCTAGAAGCTCTTATCACCCACAGTAATGAAGCAACTAGAGGGTGATGTAAAAGATCATGGACTACGGTAAGAAAGAAGACATCCAGCTGTGTGAACCATGGGAGAACATATCATTGACAATGTGGAAGGATTCATGCCAATTTTCATGCAAACGGGGACATTTGAGGGTGGCGACAGCAAACACCCTTGAGTACTGTTGGAACATCATTATAAAGGCAGCGTAAAAAAAATATTTCTCATTTATGTAGAGAGCATAATGATAATTTGAATTGACCTATTTTTTTTTGTGTGCGGTTGCTAGAGCCACAGCATATGCGTCGAAGCACAAGGCTATGCTTTTGTTCATTATTGGTAACAGGTGTGACATTGTCCTAAGCTTATGTCACTAGACAATTACAAGAGACCCCTAGGACAACAATGTAGCTTCCGCAAAACCCATCTTGTGATGGATAAGATGGGGCAAGTGACAAGAGTGGCACTAACCATGCTAACTGAGAAGAAAAGGCCAATTGGTAGAAAGCAGGCGAAGGAGAAAATGAAGAGCGGAGTGGATGATGGACCGTACAAACAGGTCCTTCAAAACCTCATTTTTGGAGAAAGAAAAATTGAAGAGATGAGAGGAGAGGAAGATGATACAAGAGCTCAAGGTGGAGGCAGATCAAAACAGGCTCGGAGGTTGACGTGGGAGCAAGAACAAAGGATCATATTCTCTGACATCACCACTCTAGAACCGTATATGGAAACATATATTGTTGCAATGAGGGCTCATCTTGCAGTTGCAGCTAAGCGGATGGCGTCATTCAACAATTTCGGTGGATCAAAGTGGTGCAATTGGTGAAGATAGCGAGGCTAGCAGTGGTGATAGCAATGGAGAAGGGAAGTGATTCGTTCCTATGTTTCATGTTATGTGATGGGACAAACTATGTGATCTATTTTAAATTTAAATTGAAACTAGGATTTCTAGATTTGAGTAGTAGTTATTTGAATAAAACTTGGAGGAATTTATGTCAAATGAAATAGATGTAATGCACATAGATAATGAGAAAAGAGAAACGCTAATGCTCCAGCACGGGCGTCCGTCACGCATCCACGGACGCTTCTAGCTAGGCCTGCGGACCGGCCCACAATCCTCCTCCTCTCATGACACATACACAGTTTCTAAAAAAAAGAGCGACACTTTCCCCACTCAACACCGACCGCCGTGGGCGCCTCCACCGCATCGCCGCCTTCGCTCGCTTTCTGCGCCACTGGGGTCGCTCACAGTGGCTAGCAAACCTACCGATCGACCGGTGTTGCTGCCCGACCAGTGACCGCTGCTCGCCCATGGAGAGGGAGACTGCAGCTGCCCGACCGCCGCTGCCGCCACCACGCCTAGTCGGCAGCTAGTAAGATCTCCGTCTCTGACGCGCCACGGCCCAACGTCCACCTCCCGCTCACGGCCATCGCCGGTAGCACCCCAGGAGAGGGGGCATCGCTGGTTGGGCTTAGGCCAGACGTAGCTGCAGCTAGCCGCTGCCAGGCCGTGCCACCATCTTCGGTCGAACCATCCATTCCCCGCTCTGCTCTGCGTCACACGGAAGAAGGTGAAAAACACATGTTGCAAGCTCACATTTCAAATGTTTCAAGTGTTTTATAGGTACGTTGCACGCATTTCATACGGATGTTGCAAAAGTAGATCGGGATGTTGCATATGTTGCAATGATTGTACACGTATGTTGCAAGAGTTTGTCTCTAATATTTCATTTGTTTTTTAGACGTATATTGTAAGCATGTTTATTTAAATGTTGCATATATTTTCACACATATGTTGAAAGTGTTTTATATGGATGTTGCGTATGTTTGCAATGGTTTCCAAGTGTTTTTGCAAATGTTTTAGACACATGTTTCAAGTGTTTCATCTGTCTTTTTTTATATGTTGCAGTGTTGTATCTAAATGTTTCAAAAGTAGAGTATTGCACATGGGATTTGCTTGGGAAGCGAGAAGCGGAGAGGGGGAGTGAGCGGTCCCCGCACGGGCGCACAGCGGCACGGGCCCCCGTGAGACGCAGGCGCAGATGAGCAATGCCTGACCAGCATGGGCCCATGCGTGGACACGCTAAAAACAAATGCGGGTGTCCATCTGGACGTCCTGTCGCTAGCAGTGCCTGGTCGGGCCCATGCGTGGACACGCGAAAAACAAACGCGGGTGTCCATCTGGATGTCCTGGCGCTAGCAGTGCCGAGAGAGAAAATATGGAATATGAGCCCTGATTTAGAGGCTATTTCTGATACCATTGCTAGAATTGCTCTAAGCGTGCTAACCGCCAATCCGGTATGCCCTGAGCCCCTAAGGAAGAGAGAAGAAGCGGGGATGGATCAGGGGCAGGCAATGTCGGGGACCAATACTATGGTACACGAAGAGGAGGAGCTAATGGTCATCAACATTGATTCATCCGAGCAGTCAAGAGCGCGACTACAGCTCCAACCGACCCCTAGGTGCGCGGGCTCCACCTCGCCCGACCTCTAGGGAGGCCCCTACCTCGCTCGACCTCAAGGCCGCAGGCTCCGCCTCGCCCGACCTTTGGGGGAGGGCTTCGCTTCGCCCGACCCCAAGGCCACGAGCTCCACCTCACCCGACCCCAAGGTCGCGGGCTCCGTCTCGCCTGACCTCAAGGCCACGGGCTCCGCCTCGGTTGACCCTTGGGTTTGCGCTCTATCTCGCCCGACAGGGTCCCATACTGCCGCCAACCACTCCGGGTCCAAGCGTATGGGCTTGGGTCAAAACTCTGACACCAAGGAAGAGACCGACACACCTCGATATAACCCGTGGCCATGACGGGCCATACCTAAGGGTTCACATCGAGAACAGCGTTGGGCGTGCCAGTGCTGTTCTGCCTGACTATCGAATGAACGCTGACAGGCGCGTCGGTTCATCATGACGTCCGCCGGGACGGAATGGAACGCCATGAACAGCAGACGACGCCTACGCATGGCGCCAGTGACAGATAGGGCCACGACATGGAGCTATCCCTATTGACATCTACAGGATCAACGGGACCCACATGAAGGAGAAGATGGGCCCGACGATCCTGAAGGCCTTCTTCTCTTTGTCTCATTCTTCTCTTTTTCTCCGCTGTAACCCATGCTTTCCCTTGGCCTATAAAAGGGAAAGCAGGGTGTCCCATAAAAGGGGATCCGATTCAAGCCAGATCAATTGACCCATCGAGACCGAACCATGAGATAAGCACGGCACGAACACACAGCTAAGCAGCAACCGAGCTCTCAGCACCCGTTCACTCCTTCTATCAGAGACTTGGGATCCTTTCCCTCTCTCGCCTGTTTGTAATCCCTACTACAAACTTTCAGTGCTAGTAACACGAGCAACAGCGTCGAACTGGATGTAGAGACTTTTTGCCCAAACCAGTATAAACCTCGTGTCCTCTTAGCACACCATCCGAGCCAGACGCACAAATATAAATTTACTCATCGGCGGTAACTCGAAACACCGACAGTTGGTGTGCCAGGTCGGGGCCTTTGGAGCATCTTGACATCCACACCAGTCCTTGGATGTCTAGTCACGGTGTCAGCTGGGTCCCGGGCGCACACATGCACTTCGGGAACCTGGACTTTATCGTTACGACAGAGGGAGGGTTGGCGCAGGCTCCCACCACCGTCCAACCTCTGCACCCCACTGTCCTCGATGCGATCGCCGAGGTGCTTGAGGAGCTGCAACTACATGGACCAGAGGCCCATACCCCTGGGAGCGACCAGCTCCTCGGCTTCGACTATGGAAGGTTAGAGCACCAGCTCGGCGACTTCCTGAGACCCTGACCGTCCCAAGAGGACCTAGGCCGCCTCACCTTCTCGTTCACCAACATCATGACGCAGCTTGCCAGAGGAGAGCCACTCTCCCCAGAATACCTCATCCAGAGTGCCCCGACAACGCTCCCGTTCGGTCTACGCAACGCCGTAGAGACCGTTGGCCACCTTGTGGCACAACACACTCCCTCATCCCCTATGAACGACGAGTTTGTGGGGATGACCGAATATATCATGGAATCTTTCCACGACCTCCTTGTAGGAGAATCGGAGTCGCCCTCCAGCTCTGACTCCAGTAGGGGGAGCCATCACCCCTCTCGTGAATGTTTCATGGCAGGTACCCCCGAGTGACACGTCGAAAGCATCCACGAGGGAGAGGCTACCCCAACGAACGACTTCAACGATGAGGTCGAGAGGGATGCAGGGGCCCTACCTCGCCTGCGGGTGGAGCAGCTGAAGGCCCGGCACCAAGAGCTTGAGGAAGCACGGCTCCAGCTCAAGCAGGAACGTGCGGAGCTCGAGCACCACGAACACGGTGGGCGTGCGTGTGCCATGGCCCATGATGTGAACCGGAGGATCATCGAGGACGATGAAGCCCTTCCACACTTCACTCGGGCGAGCCAGAACATTGCTGCTGCGGTGGCCTTGCTCCGGGGGCTTCCGGGGCCCACAACACCCGAGGGCCGTCGGGCCCATCACGATATTCGCACACTACTCGAGCGTGCGGCGGTGCAGCAGGCCGAGAGCTCACTGTCCCGATGATGTGAGCTTGATGCCAGCCAGCACACGCCCTCAGAGTGACTCGATAAGGACATGTCAATCCATTAGGTGCAACAAGGTGGCAGGCCACACACCACGGTCCCGATGCATGAGCGTCTCGGCCTTCACCGTGACGCGCGCGACACCCTCGACGCCTGTAGGTGTACCCATGGCGATGCGAGGGAGGGGGCTAGCCATGGCTACCGCCCACATCGTGGCGAGGACCAAGCCCGAGCCCCAACTTGCCGGGACCTTAGGCCTTTGGTCGACATATCCTCAACATCGTCTTTCCACCACGGTACCGACTGCCGACCAACATCCTAAAATACTCTGGGGAAACGAACCCCAGACTGTGGCTTCGAGGATTATCAGCTTGCTTGCCAAGCCGGTGGAGTGGATAATGATGATTTCATTATCCGCAACCCTCCATTGTTCCTGGCCGATTCGGCGCGAACGTGGTTGGAACACCTTCCGCCCAACCGAATCCAAAGTTGGGCGGACCTAAAAGAGATCTTCGTGGGGAACTTCTAGGGCACATACACGCGTCCTGGGAACCCCTAGGATCTCAAAAAATCTCGATAGAAGTTTTGGGAAACCCTTCGTGGGTACATCCGACGCTTCTCCTGGCAGTGCAACGAGCTGCCCAACGTCGCCGATGTCATAGGAGCTTTCCTGTCTAGGACCACCTGTGAGTCCCTAGTCCATAAGCTAGGACGTAAGGGCCCATGAACCACCAAGGAGCTTCTCGACATCGCCACCAGCCATGCCTCGAGCGAGAAGGCAGTCGGAGCGATCTTCGACCGCCTCAAGGGCAAGGCAAAGCAGGACGAGGACGCCGGCGAAGGCGCCTCCAACCGTCCCGGCAAGAAGAAGAACAAGCAGCGGCGCGAGGGCTCGCTCATGGCCACCGCTGTAACACCCCGGCTCAGGGCTTAATAGGATTAATAGGATACTCATACCAATAAGTTGCAACTTCTTTTCTGGAAGCCCATCTCTTAAGATCTCCGAGGTTAAGCGTGCTTGGCCTGGAGCGATGGGTGATCGACCGGGAAGTTCTTCCGGGGGCGCATGAGTGAGGACAAAGTGCGCAGAAAAGACTAGTGTTGGTCTGTGAGGGCAGTCTATGTCCTAGGAAAGCTATCAGATGTAAGCGGGCCTGGCCTCGAGGAGGCAGAACGTTACAGAATAGTATCAGAGCCGACCCTTGCGGTTTCATGGGTGCGTGTGTCAGTTGCGCAGGCACTGGACAGAGATGTCTTCTTTTTCTTGTTTGGTCTTGTTC